CTGCGTACCTTGCCTTGCCTCATAGGGGTATGTTTGTCAACTGCAGTTTTATATTAATTTGAGTTGTTATCTGGAAGATGCTTCCGTTTATCTCCTATTTTATTACCTTCTGTTGCCTCTTACGTTGATATGAGGTAGTGGTGGTGGTAATGGTACGTAATATCATACGTCTATTATTAATTATTGTGTTGAAATATTAATATTGTAAATGTCCTTGTGTAGTATCAGATACTAAATTTAACCTTTGCACCAATCATACCAATCAGTTGTTTCTCGTTATGCCGGAAGATGTAACGTCTCCGTTATTCGAAGCTTGTTACATTATACATCGTAGCTTCGACTTACTTTTTTACCATTGTAATTGTGTTTTATTAAAATATTATCAGAATAATAATATACTTATTTGAGAAGAACATAGCTTTGCAAATAATATTTAATTTTAATATGACAATTTTGAATAGTAACATGCAATCAAGGCTGAATTTAGTTCTTCGACTAGATTTTTGAACAAGATATTTTTTTCTTATTTCGTAAACCTTAACAGCGCAATATACTGAGTTAGTTATTTATTGTAGGTACTCGTACTACCATCGATAATCTTTTTCAATAAATACGATAAATACCTTTGCCTGTGAACCTACAATTTTGTAATAAGTACTTAACGATCGTTATAAGTATCAAGATTATTGTTCGTTATACGTATAAGATTTCGGTTCATCATTGAACATTAGTAAAAAAATTATTTGATTTTAGAATATACGAGATTATTATTAATTCATCGACTCTTACAACTTTAGAAGATTTTGTTTTAGTATGTCCCTCTATATTTAAAACGATACTATATTTTTTGTGAGGAATTAGTGGCGCGCTTGTAGCGCAGCGAGCAGGCGCGGCGACGCGTCGCAGTGCCGCCAACATTGACAGCTGTCAATCAGATTCAATATGGCTGCCAAGCCGGTTCCTGCCGTACAAACAGGCCTCCGTATCTGAGATCTGATGCAGTCCGAGACCACTACCAGATATGTTAGATTAGAATGTATGAAATCATAACAAGTTTTAGAGAATAGTCGACGAACCAAAATATTCAATTAATTGATTATAATTTTTGATAAAAAACTGAATGGTTACTTTTATTATTTATTATTTTCATAATTCTAACAAGAAATATTTTTACTGCAATGACAAAAAATTATGCACAAAACTATTCATTACAAACTGTTAACTATTCATTACAAACATAAAAAACCTAAACTTTAAAGTTACTTAACAGAATAATTTTAATGAAGCCAATAAAGACGATGAAAGGTTTTATACGTATTGGTAGGGAATAAAACCTAGGACCCGCTGCGTAACAGCCTGATACTCTCTCCTCCATCCACTTGCACTCTCCACGGCCACGCAGTCGTGATGTCATAAATATGTCACGTATTTGTTATTGCCTTTGGAAATTGCATTTACTCACCTTCTTTTTGATGATTTTTCTATGTTTCGGATTTCACATTCCTGGCATGTAATTGGTTTTAACCCGACCCGAGATTCAAATCCTGGGCCACAAGATCAGCAGTCACGCTCACGACCACTAGACCAACGAAGCAGTCAAAAAGTTCTATATACATCATTATAATAAAGATGATTTTAGTACTTAAACTTATACTTTTATTTAAAACAAACTAAAATATGGCTTAACGGCTCCGTGGTGTAGTCGCTTAGCAACAAGTTGCGGTGCTGAGGGCTGCGGGTTCGATATCCGCACGGATCAATTATTATTATTACCTATGTTATCCTTGTGTTTGTAAACTGCCTCTACGATACAGTAGAAAATCCAAGTATGGGATTAACATTTATTTTTAAAGAAAAAAAAAGAAAACGTTTCATTATAATATACAATATTCACAGCGTAATCCTTTACTTTGAGCTGCCAATTGTTATATTGAGATTAGTGTGAAATATTTCCAAGGTTTATTTTCTGTAATTTATTATCTATGTTGTACTTATAATTTTAAGGAAAGGATGAAAAGGATTTTTTTCAAAACCTAAGTAACAAACGATATAGTTAACGGGATGGTAACGGATAACCCACTACTATTTGACAGAAAAAATAGGAAATCTTTGGCACTTTTCAAATGGTCTCTTTAAAATTCTAGGGCCGATGCAGACGCAAAGGTAAAACCTTTTGCTAGCATCATAAACGGAGCGGAGTAAAAGTTTAAAGTCATAACTATCTTTATTTCAACAAAAGATTCAAACAAATGGTGTGACATTGCGAAGATGTAAATTAATCAACTCATCTAATCAATTCAAATTACTTGTAATTAGCTCATCTAATCAATTCGCTAGTTTAGATAGTAAAAGAAAAAAAATTCAAATTCAGATTTTTATTGTTTACAAACCTTGTCTGTATTAAGCTACAAATATTACCGATAAAATTATGTAAATTGGCCTACGGATTACGGAGGATATAGATTCCAAAGAATCGTTTTCTTGCGCCATGTGAGCTCTGCCCAATTAATATTTAATTGTAAGAACAGTCATGAAAGTGACCTATAACTTGGCTGCTGATTCCTAAGATAGAGACTCGTCTAGTTTGGGAGTCAGACTTAAAAAAATTTGGGATTTATTTTTGTTGATAATAAATAATGAATTATAAAGAATAAGAAATAGTTTCAAAACCCAACCAGTGGTCAATATTTGCGCAAAATAAAACTTGTTGATTTTAGACTGGTTGTGTTTTCATCACTCACGTTTTTCTGAAACTGCGTTCTACCCTACGTCTGACATTGTTAGTACTCGCGGTACTCATCCTATACCTTTAAACGAGCAATTCTTGTATATATATATAATTATATATATATATATATATATTATATATATATATTTCATCATCATTACAGCCCTTCACAAGTCCACTGCTGAACATAGGCCTCCCCAAGTAATGCCACAAAGCACGGTCCTGAGCCACCTGCAGCCATCGACTTCCTGCATGTCTTACCAGGTCGTCACTCCATCTAGTGGGGGGTCGCCCTACACTACGCCTACCGGTATATTATATATATATATATATATATATATATATATATATATATATATATATATATATATATATATATAATCGGAATCTCGGAAACTGCTCCAACGATTTTCATAAAATTTTGTGTGCAGGGAGTTTCGGGGGCAATTAATCGATCTAGCTAGGATTTATTTTTAGAAAATGTCTTTTTGTCCGTGTTTTTAGGCAATGAAAAACTGCTACAATATCGTTAGAATAAGAAGGTAAATTTTGACAATTTATTAATGATTACAAATGGCTTAATTGGTAACGATGATGTATTGGGCGGTCACAACATCGTAATATGACCATGGTTCGAGCCCAGTCCGACCAACCGACTTTTTTAATTTTTTTTCAAGTTCCTTTCTTTTTTGAGAAAATCTATTTTTTGTGCCCTTTTTTTTAGTATTTTTTAAAAACACGAAAATTTAAATTAAACTAATTGCACTCATGATTTTTTATTCAAATAACCAGTTCAGTTTTTTCTATTGTGTCGCTAAGATCAAAAAATATTATTCGTATTTCATCAGTATGTATCTAAATATAATTTCCAAAACACACGAATTAAAAAAAACCGAGCGAAAAATACCGAGCAACGCTCGGTCAACCGGGTACTAAATATAATCTACGTATTCGATAGCTTCTGAAAGAATAAAGATGTTACTGTCATTTGTTTCATAATCATTATCATCATCAACAAGTTGGCCGAAATTTTATAAACTATGTGAGGACTACTTTTATGTCCAGGAGTTCGGCACGGTAGGTTTGCTTACTCACACGAATGCTCCTTTTACCTAACACAAAGCAGCAACTGTGCCTGCAATGGTTTAGTAAAGAAAGCCAGTATTTTTTTTTCCAAAAAAAAATTGCTTTTATAGTATAAGGCCTCAAGAGCGGATGCTATGGCCCATAGACATTTACATCTATCCCCGTTTAAGAATCAAAATGCAGATGCCTTATTACCACTGAGGACTAAGATATCTTGAATTAAATGCTAATGGCGATTTCATTTTATATTATTATTATTTTTGCTTCTTCGATTATTACGATTCCAGATTTGTATTAGCGAAAGGGACAAATAATTTTCATAATTTTAAAACACAGTTATTAGAATAAAATATAAATACAAGTTAATAGTATTGCAATATGCAAATATTACTATTTTATTTCAAAATGTTTATTAGAATAAGTGTGACAAACGAATCACACAGTTCACCCGATGGTAAGTGGATGATGTGGCTCATATACATCTACATTTATATTCGAGTAGTTGTTCATCGCAACTTCATTGCGCCGCGTGGATTTTTTTGCGCGGAACCCTAAAATAAAAGTAGTCTAAGTTACTCCTTATAACATCGGCTATCTGCCAGTGAAAGTCCCATCCAAATCAGTTCATGATGATGCCTGTTCAGACAGACGTTGTGCTAGAGTTTATTATTATATTTTATATACAATATAGTATAGATTACGAATCAAAATGCAGACGCGTCCCAAAATGTCACCCCAGAGGACTCAGATGGAAAACCTAGTTTCCAGTAAAAAGGATCTCCGGTTTTCTACACTCACCATACGAAACACAGCAGCATTAATCTGCTATTTTACGAGGGACTTCTGCGAGAGTGTGGTCCTACCCCGGTCGAGGCAACCCATCCTACAACCATAACATAGCTGCAGTGTGGCTTAAAAATTATTATAACGTGCAAATCAGATATTTTTTTTCTTACTTAAACTGTTTTTTTCCAGATTTGAAACAAGGACAAACAACGTTGGTTATGTGACGTACATAATGAGGTACTGCCTCGATTTGACGCACTCTCAATGGACTTTGGAAAACTAGTGGTGTGCAACTAAAGAATATCGATAGTCGATTGTGAATACAAGATAAATACGAATGAACACCCTGATGCTGACGACTAGTGGTGCGGTGGAAGATCAGCCGTGTGTTGATAGTAACATGTCTTTTTCGTCCTACAAGTAAGTATCTAGATCTTGAATTTTAGCCTCATATTCATCATTAACCTCTCTCAAACATGAGAGAAGGCTTGTGTCAGTAGTGTAACGTATATACGCTGTAACTTTAATTAGTTAATGCAACAATCAAAGGTTTCATAGTTTTCATTATTTTACCTATTTTGTAGTTAAAAACAGTTTGTCATTTTTGTTTTTTATTTGCGATAAAACGCTGCTGATTAAAACCTGGTAAAACATACTTAAGAATATGTGACGATGAGACTGCAACATAAGGGTCATTGTTACAATAAAAGTAATATATTTTTACATGGCAAGCTTCAAAAGATATCATAACCATAACATCAAAATGTCAGTGACACACGTAGGATAAAGTCATTTAATTGAAACGCACCAAAGAACTTTGGTCAATCGCAAGTAGAATTCAGATGGCGAGATTACTTATACTTGGAAATGGCGGCAAGATTTCGATACATCATTAACAGCATTACGCGAATTAATTACTTTTTTTGTTCCAACTGTCGGCTAAATTCTAGACATCGAAATGCGTAGAGTAGGTTATCAGAATTCCTACAGATTTTCACTCATTTATAACTTCAAGCTTTATACTGTGTCATATTTTCTGAAATGATAGTTGAAAAAGTTACTGTGATAAAGTAAACTATTACGTACCTACATTCTAGAATACAACCTATTTAAATTGTATCTAAGGTTGCTTTTTTTTAAAGTTTTGATGATATTCCGTTAAATGTTATTTTTGTTTTGTTTTGTTTAATTCTCTTATATTCATAATCTATAAAGTAAATACAGCAATTACGGAACGCAAAAAGCCGTTGACCAATGAATTCGTCAGGCGGTTACAGTCCTCAATCGGGCACCTTTCATTTAAAAAAAAAGTACCATACGCCATTTCATGTCAATTTTTGAATTATTCATCGTGCGAATGCTCGAGCGCATCGATTGATGCAAGCAAAAAACACGCATTCGCTAATCTTCGCCCTCCTTCGCCTCTCTTCGGGTTTCCTCGCCTGCCAGTGTTGCTAACCAAAGTACTTATTATTCAGCTATTTTTTGCAATCACGCTGAGCAAGGACATAACCGGGAATGCATTTATTTGATAAATGATATTTTTTCCTAAATCAATCCATGCTCGATACTTTTTGACATAATTTCTCGCTGTCATTATTAAAAGATGCCTTTTGTTGGTTATGTCTCAGGCTCATTCACGCACTGTTCTCAAAAAAAGAAGTATCGTCGTGTCGGATTAGCCGTGGCATTCTAATACATCGTTCTAAGAAACAAAGGCAGCTCGTTTGTAATTTTTATAATTCCTAGATTGATTAGATGAGATTGACTACTGCGTTAAACTTTTATTTTTTGCCTCATATTTTTTAAGTAATAGATAATGAATAGATCCGCGCGCGAAGGTATGTCCTAATGGTTTATTTTATAGTCTTATCTTATTTTTTGCGCTGTTAACTCCTAGCTTAGCAATGTTTATGTCATCGGTAATTAATTAGATTCTAAATTCGTCATCATTGGCCGTCAAGCCAATTACAAGTAACATCATGATGCTTCGGGTGCAGAAAAAATATAGTGTTCAAATTTCCGAGCGTTCATCCCCCGCGCCCGCACGTCCGCCGCGCCTCGACGCCGCGTCTCGAGTGTACGTGATTGGTTTATTAATTAGGCGAATCATCGTCGGGTTCCATTTTTAAAAATAGGCGGGATTCTTGCGGTGCGATTTTTCTTTTTAATTTTGGCCGGCGTTGAACGTAATTAGAGTTACCAGTGAACTTTTTGTAAAAATTCTGGCTGTGACGATAAAAGTTACTTAAAATTCTGTTTTACATGCCTAATTAACAAGGTAATCATGAGCATTTTTTGATTTATTGAGTGTGCCTAATTACAATTTCATATCAATGCCTAATAAGTGCTGCCGATGTAGTAAAAATATTAAATAAGTCTTCAATGTCAGATATTTTTGGTACCGTTAATAAGCTTCGTTTTGTATTTACTCTGAGCCACGTGAAGAAAATAAAATTTTAATATTTTTAATTACAATAGATTTTAACATTAAGCATAGAACTGTTATTGATGAAAAATTGCATTTTTAGAACGCGACTGAGTGAGGTCAGCAGAAAAATAACATAAAAAGTTTTGCTCAGTCCGCCCTAAAGTTATGTCTCTTGGTGAATACCGTTAGGATGCCTTCCAGGCTCGAAATGAGATAAAAAAGTTGAAAACTATTCCAATTGCCAGTATTCGGAATCCGTTTTGTCTGCCGTACGATTTTTGAGACAATATTTTGCTCCTTACGTTCTTAGATTTTAATAATGTTGACATATAGATACTTATTAATTGATATTTGACATTTTATTAAAATTTGCAATCATGATTTGCTAATTTATGTTATTAGTTTTTATTCTAGTTATAAATGAACCTAATTAAATGAATTTGTTAAGTTATCCCTCTTTTTTATCAAATAATCGTAACACTACATTTACTGGAACTTGGGATAATAAATAATAAAAAAGATTTATAAGAAATATTTTATTCATTAGTTAATATGGTACGTTGAAATGAAATGTTTTTGTAATAAATATATTATGTTCAGACACAGATTTGTAGGTACAATAATTCTTCATCATATTGCATCATAATATATTTTGCTATATGGCATGCCATAGTTGCCACGCTTGGCAGGTGTGTCGGTGCACGCAGTTTTTTATTATTCTCAGTTGTTTAACGATCCTTATGAAAATGAATTTCGATAACTTACATATATTTTATTTACGCCAGAATTAGTCAATTATGAAGGGAAGAAAAAGATCATACAATTATGAAGGAAAATATCACAAAATACTTAAAATTACAGCGATGTTCATAGGATAATATTGAAGTAAGAGAATAGTTAGAGCGAACACAACGGATTATATTGTTCGCAGTGATACTGCTCTTGCAAGATCAGAATACCTCGCATACATAAATCTATCTAAAGTATAATAAAAGGCTATGGTAGCTCAGGAGCTAAACACTCGTAAATTTCACAGCTCGCGAGAAACGCAGGTTCGACACCCGTCGACATTGAATGAAATTGTTAATTGCAATTTAAGTGATGGTGAACCACGTGTTCAGCGGTTAAGGAAAGCAATGTGAGGGTCTGAAGCATAAAATATTTTGAAGGGATTTGACAGCCAACACGGATTGAAACAGCGTGACAGACTGATTGCTTCAAATCTTTTCTTAGAGACAAGTAACAAAAAATTTAATAGTACCTACACAAGATGTTTACTGTAGCCCATGGACTTCTAAATTCGAAGGAAGGCTGCTGGTACGTTGCCAACTTAAGGACTAAGATGCAATGTCTCACAGCCTGTACTGTTACTCTTGTAAGCGAAAAATAGTATCATACTATCGCTTTGAAATAATAATAGGATGGAATCTACCTAGACGGTATCTATTTGGCAGAAAAGTAGTCAAAACTCAAAATTTCTTCAATTTATCCGTGCAGAATTAGATTCTGCAATAACAAATGTGCAGTATATTTCATTTTGCCATAAGTATTACCGCAAAATATTCCTTATATTGTTATATTTGATGTACTATTTAACAGTGTAGTACAACGCCAGAAACACCCATATAATAATACCGAAAACCTATTTATTCTATACGTGGTAGAGCCATGTTGCATATACAATATGTAACGTAATTAACGCACACCCTCAGACACCCCAATTAGTATATTATGTTGTAATCATAATACATACACTGAATTTTAGTTAAACATTTTTATGCACTGATTATTTGTCAAATTAGTTATACTAATTCCGGAAGAATTATGTGGTCACAGTACAAATCCACGAAGGCAAAGACTTTAGCGTGCTTGAAATAAAGTTCATTTTTCTTTATTGTTATTGAATGACAGAATTAGTAATATTACAAATACAAATTTTAATATATACTAAATTAGTAATATAATAAATATAGAGTGCAGTTTACTCTTAAAAGTCTTATTGCCTTAAGTTACGGTCCATTTCAGTTTGTTTCGACTGTACATATTTAGTGTGACTGTAATTTACGTAGTTTTAATTATTTTTGGGATAAAAAATTACCTATATTAAAAATGATAGGAATCGATTCAGTAAACGATTCTGAACAAACTACTTTCTCAAAGTGCGTTAATTATGTTACATGTTGTATATTAGCAGTACCTATAGTTGTAGCACGAATGGGTCGCCTCGATCGTGGAAGGACCACGCTCTCACATAACACCAGCGTGAAATAATAGCTTAACTCTTATGTCTTTTGTATGGTAAGTTTAGAGAATCGTTGACTATTTTTACTGAAAACGTGGCATTCCATTCTCGGAGGTGACAACGCATCTGCATTTTGATTCGTAATCAAGAATAGATGTAGATGACTATGGGCCACAGTTATCACTTACTATCAGATGGAGTGTGCTCGTTTGTCACACGATCCTATAAAAAACCTATAATTAACTTGCAAATATAATAAAAATATAGCTAGAGCAGTGCCTGCAGCACTAATGGAATAGACTCCACCGGGGATGGAGTACTCTCGCAAGTACTACTGTACTGACGATGTTCGTAAGTGATGAAAACGTGCGACCCTTTGTACTGGTACTCGTAATAAGGAATTTGATCGTAGTCCCTAGAAAACGCCTCTATCGAAGATATATGTAGATTTCTATAGACCACAGCATTCACTTATCATTAAGTGGACTGTGTGAATGCATGTCACAGTAACTTCTTTTAAAAATAATACGTAGCTAAATATTAAAAAAAAAATACTTAGACCACCTAAGTTTAAACGAAAAAGGTAGGTAATTATCTTATTTCCTGAACACCATTTATTGCTTAACTTTGCAAATGTTATTTGAATTCTATCTACTCCATAAAAGATCCGCAGCTTGAAGTTTCGTACGCATCTATAAACGCGATAGTAAGCAGAATCCATTTCAACGTCGGAACAAGCCGACTGGC